GAAGCGTTTTCTTGTAAAAGACAATGGCGGGGAAAGAGTTAAGATGCAATTTAGAAATTATGAAACAAAACACCATTACAGATCACATTTTGTCTTTTGATTAGCAATGACAAATTGGATTGATCATTACCTTTAAACATACAGATTGCCTGGCTCGGTAAAAGAAGATTCACCTTTCAACTGCGCAAGAGCAGATATGGGAGATTTGTCTGTAAGGTCATTATATGATCATCACAGATGAAAGAAATGTGCATTAGTGACATGTTAGAGAAACATGTGACTCCTGCAGGGCTGAATGCATTTACAGCATCTTAGTGTGGCATTGTTTATTATAGGAAAAGACAACGGACTATAACAAGCTTCATCTGCAGTAAGAGAAGCACGCAGCTCTTTATTATCTCTGCAACGGTGTGTTAGTGTGATGTGTGATCATGATCTGACGTCTCTGTGCTGGACAGCGGATACCGGCAGGGACTGAACTACCACATTTTGCTATAAGTTTGATTGCATCATATAATAATTGCTGTTAATAGTGTTCATCGTCTGTTTTATTACGTCTTAAATTGATTTTTCCGTACATTTCTGCCATATGTACATTAACTGACAGTCAGCACTGATAAGCTACCACTAAATATTGTAGAAACTTAATTTGCTGTAAAGTTGCTTTGCAATGATTTGTATCGTGAAAAGCGCTGTACAAATAAACTTGACTTGACTTGACTGAGTGTTGTCCTGAGAGGCCTTCATGTGCTGGATCATGTTAATCTGACAGCAGAGAGGATTCTACCATTTATCTTTAGGAGCAGATGCCAACCATTTCAAATAGACATTCTGTAGCTATTTATTTAAGGTATTTAATAAAGGTATTTAAGGTTAAGACCCCTGATTTAGATTATCAGATGGTCAGAAGAGAGATCCATCAACTGATGAGACAGATCAGTGGGTCTCCTGGACTTACAAGCCTGTTTCGACCTCACTGATTGGAGTGTTTTTGAAGCTGCAGCCACCGATCTGGATGAGCTCACAGAGACTGTAACTTCTTATATCAGTTTCTGTGAGGATATGTGCATCCCCACCAGGACATTCATATCATTTAATAATGATAAACCGTGGTTTACTTGGAAACTCAAACAGCTTCGTCACACCAAAGAGGATGCTTACAGAAGTAGGGATAAAATCTTGTATAACCAGGCCAGGAACAGACTAAAAAAGGAGATCAGAGTGGCTAATAAAAACTACTCTGAAAAGCTGAGAAAATAGTTTTTAGCCAGCGATCCAGCGTCGGTATGGACTGGCCTGAGAAACATCATCATGTACAAGACACCACCCCCACAGTCTGTGGAGAATCAACAACTGGCTGACGATCTGAAAGCATTTTACTGCCGATTTGAAAAGGCCAGACTGACACCCCCCATCCGCTCTGATCTGCACTTCACACATTCACCTACCCGGGTCTTCAGGAAGCAGAAATCTAGGACAGCTTCAGTCCCAGATGGTGTTTCATGATGGTTGCCTGTCTAAAAGTCTGTGCTGACCAACTGGCCCCCATCTTCACACAGATCTTCAACAGATCTCTGGAGCTGTGTGAAGTTCCCTGCTGCTTCAAACGCTCCACCATCATTCCGGTTGCCAAAAAGCCCAAAATCACTGGACTTAACGACTACAGACCTGTTGCTCTCATGTCTGTGGTCATGAAGTCATTTGAGCGACTGGTCCTGGCCTACCTGAAGGACATCACTGGACCCCTGCTGGATCCTCTTCAGTTTGCCTACAGAGCAAACAGGTCTGTGGATGATGCAGTCAATATGGGACTGCATTACATCCTGCAACACCTCGACAGACCTGGGCATTACACAAGGATCCTATTTGTGGACTTCAGTTCGGCCTTCAGTGCCACCATGCCTGACCTTCTCTTAGACAAACTCACACAGCTCTCTGTGCCCTCCTCCATCTGTCAGTGGATCACCAGCTTCCTGACAGACAGGCAGCAGCTAGTGAGGCTGGGAAAACTCACATCCAGGACTATCACCATCAGCACTGGCGCCCCTCGGGGTTGTGTTCTCTCCCCACTGCCTTTCTCCTTCTACACCAATGACTGCACCTCTAAGACCCCTCTGTCAAGCTCCTGAAGTTTGCGGATGACACTACAGTCATCGGCCTCATCAAGGACGGAGACGAGTCTGCTTACAGACAGGAGGTCGAAGAGCTGGCTGTCTGGTGCAGTCTTAACAACCTGGAGCTTAACACACTCAAAACTGAGGAGATGATCGTGGACTTCAGGAGAAACCCCCCAGCACTCCCACCACTCACCATCATGAACAGCACTGTGGATGCAGTGGAGTCATTCAGATTCCTGGGCACCATCATCTCTCAGGACCTGAAGTGGGACACTCACATAGACTCCATTGCAAAAAAGGCCCAGCAGAGGTTGTACTTCCTTCGCCAGCTGAGGAAATTCAACCTGCCACAGGAGCTGCTGAAACAGTTCTACTCCGCCATCATTGAATCTGTCCTCTGCACTTCTAGTTCTACTCAGCCATCATTGAGACTATCCTGTGTTCATCCATAACTGTCTGGTTTGGTTCAGCTACAAAATCAGACATCAAGAGACTACAGCGGACAGTCAGGACTGCTGAGAGGATTATCGGTGCCCCTCTGCCCAGCCTCCAAGATCTTTAAATCTCCAGAGTGAGGAAAAGGGCTCAGAAAATCACCTTGGACACCTAACCCAGCCCACTCTGTCTTTCAACGGTTGCCTTCTGGTCGGCGCTACAGAGCACTGACCACCAGAACAGCCAGGCACAAGAACAGTTTTTTTCCCACAGGCTATATTCCGCCTGAACAATTAAACTTTCATAATGATACATTGTCCATCACAAATGACATATTTATACACAGAATCCAAAATTTGTACACTTGTAAACTGCACACTTTGTAAATAATATATCTGAACACTTATAAAATATATGTACATTTATCTAAACAATTACATTTTTTCCTATACTTCTAATTCTGTATACAGTACATTATTTAATTTCCGTTTTTTTTCTTCTTATATTAGTGTTATATTCCATCCCTACTGTGTTATTCCTATGTATGTCTGCACTATCATGTATGTCTGCAATACAGTATGTCTGTACTTCTGCACTGGAAGCTCCTGTCGTCAAGTCAAATTCCTTGTGTGTGTAAACATACTTGGTAATAACGCTCTTTTGATTCTGATTCTGAAAACCGCTCATGTATTGACTGCTCTTGTGTGTTTTTGTATTTTTACTTTGTAGTTGCATTCATTCTCCTGTTTCCCCTCATGATTCCCTAGTAACTTGTGTCTTGTTACCCTTTTCATATACCTGCTTTAGGGAGACTTCCAAAGTTAGCAAATAAATAAATAAATAAAACAAACAAAAAATTAAATGCTGCAATACACTAGGCAGAAGTCAAGAGGCTGGTTTGTAATGGATGGCGATGGAGGAGAAGCTTCTGTCGTACAGCTCTCACAGCAACTGAATCATCAAAGACTCCTTTTGCATTGTATTTTTACGGCGTTCTGAATTATGCTTTTATCATAACCAAGTGTTATGGTAATAATAATTGCTGTTAATAGTGTTCATCGTCTGTTTTATTACGACTTTAATTGATTACGTCTTTAATTGATTTTTCCGTACATTTCTGCCATATGTACATTAATTGACAGTCACCACTGATCAGCTACCACTAAATATTGTAGAAACTTAATTTGCTGTAAAGTTGCTTTGCAATGATTTGTATCGTGAAAAGCGCTATACAAATAAACTTGAATTGAATTGAAAGTGCAGACACAATGTAAATGTAAAATTCATTGTGCAGTATAGACCTTTTCAATGATTATTTCAGCAGTTGATTTGTAACAGCCTTGATTCTCCAATGTATAAACAAAACAAAATAATTTTGTGACAGAACTGTCTTTATCCTTATATGTAAAAACAATACTTTATTAAAGATAAGGATTTGAAATGAACCGGGTTGCTTATGTGTTGCAGCATCTTGGTGGCAGGTGGACACTTTACCTGATTTTCTAAAATCACTAAGGTCTTTCCTAAGCCCATCCCTAATTCAATTCAATTAAATTCAAGTTTATTTGTATAGCGCTTTTCACGATACAAATCATTGCAAAGCAACTTTACAGCAAATTAAGTTTCTACAATATTTAGTGGTAGCTTATCAGTGGTGATTGTCAGTTAATGTACATATGGCAAAAAATGTATGGAAAAATCAATTAAAGACATAATCAAACAGACGATGAACACCAATAACAGAAATTATTATATGATGCAATCAAACTAATAGCAAAATGTGGTAGTTCTGTATCTTGTTTCAGGGTTGGCATCATCTGAGGTCCTCTGAGGGGTTGGCATCATCTCTTCTCAGGTGTTCTGAATTGTTTTTGTTAATTTATTTTACATTTTTCTGGTTTAATCATGACCAGATTTTTTCTAGATCCTACATTAAATTGATATTTTGACCTCACTATTCGGGGAACAGACACAGTCTTTATAGACTGGACAGCGCAAGTACTTCTGTCATTTATGTGGGTAGAACAAAAGTCATCAGGGCAGTTATTTGAGATTTGACTTATTATTTTACTTACTAGACTTACCTAAACCCAGCCGTCCCGTGAGAAAGAGCAAATCAGCTAAAGAGGTTAAAAAGCACCCACCGTTTTCAAAATGCCACTAGTGTTCCATATATATATACACCTGTGCAGGCAGTCTTGCATTGATAAATTCATCTGTATTGCATCATAAAGACAAAGATGAAGTAAGTGTGTCACTTTGCAGTTTGGTTTCAAAAAGGTTGTTTGGACTAGCATGCAAGTTTTAAATTCTGAAATGTGTTTTATAGTACTTTACTGTATTTTTTTGTACTGATTGTACCAATTTAGTCAAAATTTCAGAGCATATAGCAGCTGAAGTGTGAGTTTTGGTTGTCTGTAATTCTTTATGTGATGTATGTCTTCACAGCTACATTCAGATGTGGATAAGGCCGATGGAAACGTCAGGTACGTGTTGACTGGAGACGGAGCCTCCTCTATCTTCACTATCGATGAGAAAACAGGGGACATCCATGCCACCAAACGCCTGGACCGAGAGGAACAGGGTTATTACACTCTGCGCGCTCAAGCGGTCGACAGAGAAACCAATGCTCCGATGGAGGACGAGTCTGAATTTATTGTGAAGGTCCAAGACATTAATGACAACGAGCCTAAGTTTCTGGACGGGCCGTACACTGCAGGAGTTCCTGAAATGTCTCCTCTCGGTATGTTCATTTAATTCATCTTTGCTCCTTTTCAAAAGCTTTAAGTTAACTACTTTATTAATCCCACAAGGGGCAATTAAAGTTTTTTGGCTTTTCATGTAAAGCTTGTGGTTACTTTCTCAAAACGCCATTTCTAAAAATACATCTGAAAAAGCCAAGCACTACAGTTCAAAAGTTTGTTTTTGAAAGAGTCTCTTCTGCTCACCAAGGCTGCATTTATTTTATATATATATATAAAAAAAAAAAATTAAACCGTGAAATGTTATTACAATTAAAAACAGCTGTTTTCTATGTGAATATCTGTTAAACTGTAATGTATTTTTGTGATTCGCAGCTGTATTTTCAGCATCATTACTCCAGTCTTCAGTGTCACGTGATCTTCAGAAATCATTCTAATATGCTGATTTGCTGCTCATGAAACATTTCTGATTATTAGCAATGTTGAAAACAGTTGTGTTGCACAGTATTTGGTGAGACGATATGAGAACTTAAAAATTTGTGTTGCTTGATTAACATTAATGACACAGACAGGTATTTAATTAGGCTGCTGTCACTTTAAGACCGAATTAATATAATATACTGACACATATCCGGTTTTCACCCACCTGTTTACATTCACTTAAGCCGTAACCGACTGTATTTACGTGAGATACTCCACACGATTGACATTTTGACAGCTGTGTGTGTATTTAACAATTAAGGCGCAGGCAGAACTGATCGCAGAACTGGGATCGTGCGGGCACGTGATCGAGACAGCGCTTCTGTGTGTCTTTCATTCAGCGTGATTCCGCCTATCTATCCCGCCTTCACTTACTCCAAGTTAATTGATAACGAATTGTGATTGATTAAAAACAGCTGTTTTCTATGTGAATATCTGTTAAACTGTAATGTATTTTTGTGATTCGCAGCTGTATTTTCAGCATCATTACTCCAGTCTTCAGTGTCACGTGATCTTCAGAAATCATTCTAATATGCTGATTTGCTGCTCATGAAACATTTCTGATTATTAGCAATGTTGAAAACAGTTGTGTTGCACAGTATTTGGTGAGACGATATGAGAAATTTTATTTCATGATATCTAAATTTATATATATATATATATATATATATAGCCTATATACACACACAAGGCGCAGGCAGAACTGATCGCAGAACTGGGATCGTGCGGGCACGTGATCGAGACAGCGCTTCTGTGTGTCTTTCATTCAGCGTGATTCCGCCTATCTATCCCGCCTTCACTTACTCCAAGTTAATTGATAACGAATTGTGATTGGATGGTAATTTGGTTCTACGACAAGCTTACTTACCTTTGATTAGGCTGTTCTCTCATGACAGAACACTTCTACTACTTGCTCTGATCACCCAGTCATAAAGAAATTTTGAAGTATGGGACAAAACATGATTTTTTCAAAATAAGTCAGGACACTAAAAAACGAGCTGAAATACGGCACTGTCCTGGTAAAAACAGGACGTCTGGTCATCCTAGCTTTCACTCCCAAGATGCATTGTGAGTGGCTGAATGTCAGGGTCATATCTATCAGTCTGTCTTATGACAAACTGCCAGTGAACTCTCAGAAACACAAAAACATGGCAATAGAGAACAATGTCACTAAAAAGAAGCATGGAGGCAGAAGCTGCAACAAAGCCAACGGTTCAGATAGCTGATGTCTCAAATCTCCTCGAGGAATCTGAAGCTTTATGCTCCTGGCCTGAGGACCCCGTCAGAATGGGGTTCGTGGATTAAACTTCCAGTGTAGATTGGAGTGACAGTGTGCCAGAGAAGGTGTCAGAAGCTGCGACAGCGAACAGCAGCTCAGTGTGTCTGGATCAGTCACATGGCAGACGTATACTGAGGGCACATGCGCTATCATACTGTAAAGTTCTGCACTGAAGCATAAATGAATGACAGAAACCTCTTGTTGCAATAACTGTGTGATATTTGATCTCAAAATCTAAAGGTGAATCAGAGGGGATGGAGGCTTCATTAAATCATGAGTTTTACTTGATGAACAACTCAACTGGGTCTTTCTGTTGAGAATTTTAGACAGACAGAGGCAGAGATAGTGTTTTGCAGATGTGTTTAAAACATTCATAGCCCTGTGACACTGATAAATGGCTTCAGTTAAGTGGAAATCATGAATTTAATGAAGTAATTAGACTCACCTGCACACCCTCTGGAAGAGTTTTGTCTTCATGAGATTGCTCCTCTGAGTTCATTCATGTGCGAGATCCTAAACATTCAGGAAGTTTGGGATAAAAATACCTGCAGGTAATGTTACATTTCAGTCATCTGGACAAACTCATCTAAGTTCACAGATCGGAAGAAACCAAAGATCCATCCAAATATTTAGTGATGACTTCATGATTAAAGATTTATGAAAGAACTATGCAATGCGGTTCAGCTTAAGCATCCTTTCTCTCGTTTTTAGTGTTGATTTTGTTTCAGACTGTTGAGATCAGGGCAGCAGGTGTAACAATAGACCAATGCAATCACTCCAGCAAATGTGTGAGACAATGAATATGCTCTGTTTTATGGAAAGACAAAATATTACTTTTTTTTGTTAACTTTAAATGTTAACTTTAAATCCCACATGTATCTATGGTATTCTGCATGCATTTTTCTTTTTCTTTTTTTTCTTTTTTGGTGAATGTTATTTTTCATTGTAACATCACACTATTGCTTTAGTCTTTATCAGTAAATAATTCTTTGTGCATTAAAAACTATGATTTCTGTAGACTATATTTACTCCGTAAAGGCAGGACAGAGGCCAAATCTGAAGAAGCATAAGAAACAATTCACACTTATAATGCTGTCTTTGTTTTGCTTCTCATGTACACCTAACAGAAACCAGACTATTGATCCTAAGCAAACGAGATTTAGTGACCATGACGATCAAATTTCAGCTCCTGTTTGGTGGAGGAATATGAAAAAGTGTCATCTCCTGAAATTAGTCGAGGTATATTTATTTTCATTACTGTCAGATGACAGTCAGCTGCCTGGAGCACAGAACTGATTACAAACCCCAGAGATGCATTTCTTGTACACAGAAAATGATTTGAAACCTGAGACTGTGATCATTCTCTGGAATGAAGATGGACAAATGAGAGATGACAGAGAGACAGTGATTAGACATACAGCTGCAGAGGCTTTGACTCAAGCACCACAAAGCCATTCCAGGTGAATGTATAGCACACTAGACAGATCAAATAAGACTTCAAATTGTTGCAAGCATGTCATTGCTGATGGATTAATAATCCAAGATTTTTTGTGTCTGTTTGTATATATTGTAGCAAATTAGACCAAAAGGGAAATGCATATAAATAATTACAATTAATTACAATTACTTATATCAGATGCCAGTAGTAAATGAGGCATAATTAAGATTACCTTCAACTAATCTGTTCGTCCAGCAAACATTCAGTGTAATTTCATATCAACTCTATCAACTCTGGTCATAGAAAATAACTTGTAGCCTGCTTGCAGTACTAATACATTAGAAGCATGTAACAAGATCAGAAATCGTTAAAGGGACATTATCCATAAGCAGTGACGTCCCTTGTCAAAAAATCCTAATTGATTCCAAAAAGAAAATTGTACAGGATTTTAATTAGAATTTTGGAACCATTGCTATGGATAAGATCAATCAATCAATCAATCAATCAATCAATCATAGGAATCTCAAGTCCTACAAGAATCTCATTGGAATGGTTCCAAGTTATGATAGAAATTCTGATTAGAACAATTTTCTTATTGGAATCTTTTTTAGGATTTTTTGACAAAGGACAGAATCAGAAACTCATGTAGTTTGTGCACAAAAGTATATAACTGTTGTTGGATTTGCTTCCTATATTTGCGTTATGTGGTAATCAGGTTAAAAGCATTAGTAGTCTCCTCTGCAGCAGTTTTATGATTTTAAACTCCCAGTTCAGACAGTGTAAAATGTTATATTAAGCCCAAATCAATATGGAATGACACTTCATCTATTCACTGTGACGTGACAGTGATTCTCAATTCCAATCCTCGCGCCCACACCTGCTCTGCATATTTTGCATGTCTCTCTTGTTTAACACAACTGATTCAGATCAGCTCGTTAGAAGAACGCTCCATGCATGAACTGTGCTCCAACTGACAGGGTCCCTATACAGTGTTCATTGCTCCCTACTCCCTGAGCATGGGAATTCCATTGAAGTTAACTTCACTTTGGAATATTCGGCCTGCAGCGTCTTCACACACAGACCAAACTTACTAGAGAACTGTGACATAATATACCTCTGTAAATACTGTATATACAATTTAAATTTACGTCTCACACACTTTAATGCCCTTTAAATAGAACATATACGTTCCCTTCGAACTGGAATCATGGCGGAATATCTTGTCTGAAGTGATAAGAGATTCATGCAAAATGTGCAGAGTGATGGTACGCAAGGATTGAAACTGAGAACCACTGCTCTATGACGTTCTCATACTGTTTTCCCCCATGTGAATGCCATTGACTTTCACCCATGCAATGTGTTTGATTCGAGACCTACTCTATGAGGGTGAAAACAACCAAACAGACTAAATATTACTCTAATACTATGATAGCATTGGCTTCCAAATACAGCCTATTGAAGCAGACTGCATGAGCTCATGTTAAACAAACACTTCCAGTTTTTAGCACGTTTGGCTTCAAGTGGCTTTTGCTTGTTGTGAAAAATGGATACAGAGTAGCCCATATTACCTGTTAGAACTCCACTATCTTCATGTCCACAAGTCTTTCTCTAGACAAATCCAGTTGCTGTTCTTTCTACATGGTTTTGTGTTTTTTTTTTATTTTCATGCTTAATTCATTTAGTAAAATACAATCTAAGCAAGAGAACGTCTCAAATGTACAAATGTAACCCTGGTTCCCTGAGAAGGGGGACGAGACACTGCGTCTGACAAGTGACAGCCCATATTACCTGTTAGAACTCCACTATCTTCATGTCCACAAGTCTTTCTCTAGACAAATCCAGTTGCTGTTCTTTCTACATGGTTTTGTGTTTTTTTTTATTTTCATGCTTAATTCATTTAGTAAAATACAATCTAAGCAAGAGAACGTCTCAAATGTACAAATGTAACCCTGGTTCCCTGAGAAGGGGGACGAGACACTGCGTCTGACAAGTGACATAATTCGCTGACAATAGCCTGTGATGTCACTACCGGTGTGACTGTCAGTGTAAAAGGGCGCCTTCATGCCCTAAAGGAAAGTTCTGGCTTTTACACCTTCCGCCCTTCCTTACTGGCCCAGGCAATTGAGGTCCATATAGCAGGAAGAAATAAATTCCCCAGCCTTTTACTGTCTCTTTCTCGATAGAAAGGTGCTCATGCCCTGCTGACTATAGGTAGAATCTTCATTGACCAGTACTCCCAAAGGTGCTTGCCAATGGGAAGGAATGCTAATAAGGCAAAAAAGGCCACTTCCCATCGGGGCTCGGAGATGTAATGCCCTGGGGAAGCGGAGGACTCGGCGTGATGACCTTGGGTAAGAGGGGAATTCCACTCTACACTCAACCCTAAAGACTCTCTCACCAAGGGGATCTCATCATGCATGAGCTGTCACTGCTTGATGAAGCTTATACACTATGAAGGAGCTTCCTACTTAAAGGACTCAAGGATCTGAGGGAGGCAGCTTCAACTTTATTACTGTCAGGGAGCTTTCTACTTAGGAATTCCCAGTGGGGGATGCAGCTTTAACCTGAACACTCCAAAGGAGCTTTCTTCTTAGGGGACTCCACAAAAAGAGGAGGCAGCTGCAACCTAAATACTATCAAGAGACTATCTGAGAATATCTGGGAGAGGCAGCTTCAACTTCATTGCTGTCGCATTTGCCTCTCCGAACATCCTGACCACCGTCTCAACAGTGCTGAAAAGACAAGATGGAGAAACCGACACATCGAGGAGAAAGTTTTTTTTTTAAATTTTCCCTGATTTCAGCCAGGTTCAGCCACAGATGTCTGTCCAAGGCCACCATCGCTGCCATTGATCAACTGACTGTGGCAGCTGTCTGTCTCTGTGGCCCAGAGAGCGAGATTTGCGGTGCGGCACAGCCAGCAGTTCAGGGGAGAGGCCGTGACCCTGATACAGATTTCTCAGCTGATTGGCCTGGTATGCCTGTAACAGAGCCGTTGTGTGTAATGCGCCACTGCCCTGACCTACTGCCACGTATGCCCTGCCATTTAAACAGGGTGTAACACGCAGAGGTTTGGATGGCAGGGTTGGAGCCTTCAGTGACGATGCCTTCCCCACTGAGAGATATGCCCCTTCAATGGGGGGCATCGACTCATGTCTCTGCTCACGCATTTCTGGTATATTTGTGTAATTTTCATGCTGAAACAAATGGTTCTCACCACATCTCTTCATGATCTCTCCACCTCAGTGTGGAGAGCAGGAAGAAATGGAAGCCTCATGGTAACAGGCAGTTATGTAGAGACTTAAATCGCTCCTCATACGTGAGACAGGCAGGCTGGGAGGACTCATTTGCTGTTTCGCTCTCTTTAGCCTGCTCCTCCTGACTTGATGCCAGTAGAGCACTGTCTGCTGGATTGGAAGATATCAAAGAAAGAACATCCGGATCCAGCAGCTTGCATGAGTCGGTTCCTTTTACGTTTATATAGCGGGCTAATTTATCAATAATATATGCCTCAACTCCCTCTGCATCTAATACCTCAGAATTACATATTCCACATTATTCTTTTAGAAAGGAATAGTTTCTTTCCTTCTTGTAGAAACCTGTATGAAAGAATTATAGGTAACAAGAGGAGTTCTGAAAGGGAAAGCACTTTCCATCAGACTCCTCTTATGATATGCCTACAATCCCCGTGATCCATCACGCCTCGCAGTTCTCTTGGCAGGAGCGGGGACCTGAACAACCGGGAGTAGGTGCTCAACTCTTATCCCTCAAGAGAAAATTAAGGATAGGTGGAGCTTCTCACCAAATCCACATCACACAGCATGCATTTAACTCCCTCAAGAGCCGAATGTGCTTGTGCAAACACTGACTACTATCCCTCGCGTGAGAATCAAACAAGAACAAAAGCTTCTTACTATTATCCTTCAGTCAGTCCCACAGTTGCATCATAATTAGCACACCCAGCTTTCTCGAGGCGTCAAACGCGCTCCACTAGTAGCATTTGTCACGCATGTACAAACAAATGTCTCCTGAAGACAAAAAAGCTAATGGCCTGTACCATAGGTGCCCTTTTATACTTACAGCTGCACAGGTAGTGACGTCACAGACGTAGCATCAGACACAGAGCAGGTTCCCATTTGAAAGGGACCTTTATTTATTGGGTGGTGCACTTTTACCTGCTATTACCTACTTGTAAAACACTGCTTTCCTTTTTGTTCTTTGGTGCTGTAGTCGGATGCTTTTAAAAACAACAACACCTAGTGCAACTCAAAATGCAACTCTAACTCAGGATATAACAGCTACGGAAGTTACTCTTGTGACCACTGCTAAATACACAATTATGCAAGCAAGAGAATGAGGGAACATCTAGATCAGTGTTCCTGGAGGAACACTAACACTATACATTTTCAAACTCTTCCTAATTAAACACACCTGATTTAGCTCATCAGCTTGTTAGTAGAGATTCCAAGACCTGAAATGAATGGGTCATATTTAAGTTAAACTCACTAGGATTTTGTTTTGCATATTTCCTGGATGCACAGGCACCATGGTGGTTCAGGTGACAGCGACAGATGCAGATGACCCCACTTACGGCAATAGTGCCAGAGTCGTGTACAGCATCATACATGGACACCCTTACTTCTCTGTGGAGCCCAAGACAGGTAACCTTACCTTTAAATGTATTTATTTAAATTGATTAACCTAACTGCAAATTTATTTCGTATCTGGGTTGTTAATGTTTAAATTTTTTTATTTTTTTTTAAATTTTGGATTTTGGACTGTGTTTTTGGTCAAGCAGAAAGTTTGCTTTTTCATCCAAGGAAAGTGAATGGGGACATATGCTCCAAAAATTAACCTTAAAAATAACCCATATGTCTTGTGTGATGTGTGCTGCATTATATGTCAGGAGTTGGCACCCTTTTTTGACAGGATGTGCCAAGACTTGTTCTTACATTCAAAGATGAATTATAGAGTGGAACAGAGTTCTTGAGCCAAATATATCAATGACACACAGTACTTCATCTGTTCAGAAAGAGCGATAAAGAGCAGCTATGTTGACAGAGTGCTGCTGTGTGCTTGCTGTGGCGGTCTGGGTACTAGAGTGGTTTATTTTTTTTATTTTTTTATTTATTTATTAAATCAAAGCTAGAAAGATGATTTCATTGGTGGATTTCTTCACTCGTTGTGTTACATCACTGCCCTTTTTTTACAGGTCCATATCTCAAGCTCAACAAAAGTGTAATCCTGGATGTCCATCAATTGGACTGCAGAAATGCTACGTATAAGATCAGTGTAAATTATTGGGTCTTGGGGTCCAAAAAAATGCCCTTGCACAATTAAACTAATTTGATTACGACACACTGTTTCATGTGCATGGAACCCAATATCCTCTGTAGGCCACATTAGTGCCCATGTTTTTATGTAGGCAAGCCTTTAGTAAACCAGGGCCATAGTCTTTGTGGACGATTGGAAAGAAAATCTGATAAATTATGAGGCTACCATTAACTCTTAAATCAATTAGTGTCTGCAAGGGAATGTGTATCTTCATTGTATTAAAAGCAGAGCTAAAATCAATACATAGAACTCTAGCTTAATGGGCACTGCAGTCTGCTGAATATATTCAGAGTCTCTGTTAAACCTCAAATATGAACAAAAGTAATAATGATGCTTGCCTTAGCAAACACTAAATTACCTCAGGGGACATAGCAGAAACAGAAACAAATGAAAATATTTCTTCTGAATGTTGACTTGCTGTGAGGGTGCTTCAGTTTGTGGTGTGTGTGTGTTTGCACATTTGTTTGTGTGTGTGAATATGTGTTCATACTGTACCTGCAGCAGTCTCATTACCCAGCATCCTACTGCGATTCCAGCTGCCACCTGCAAAGCACTCTGGGTGTGAATCTCAGACAGGAGGCTGTTGGTCTGCTTGTTACATTTTCTTTCCTGAGGGAGAGGACCATCTCATTATTCTTTGAGCATGTTTGTGGTGGTAACCAACACGTGTGCATGTAATTTGCTGTTGTATCTGATGCATTGTTCATCTTTCATGGATTTTTTCCTTTTGATTCAGCTGAGGTTTGACATCGGATGAGTTTTATAATATTGCAGAGGCATGATTGGAAATGACACAAATGCTGCATATTAGTAGTGAATACTTTTTTTGTCATTAGGCTGTGAATTGTACCTCTCTTTTAAGAAATCAATTTAAGAAATCCCCCTTTACACCTGTCATTAACTCTTGACCACATTAAATACACACTAAATACATTGTGATTTATTTAATGATTGAATTGCTGAAAGCACATTTGGAGGTGATCTGGCTGAATGTAGCTGTACATGCAGACGTGCCTGGTACAAAATCATCATCATGCCCTACCACCAGACAATTACTAAATATGCTTAATGGAATACATTTCCCTGTACAAATGAGGGGGGGAAAATCATTTTGGTGTTTATTTTATCACTGAAACATCATTCAGATATTCATTGTTATCATGAATCTGATGGACTGAGTTGTAACATTCCGGTCAAGGCCTATTTTTATCCGTTATGATTGTTTTACAGACTCTAAGTCTAGTTTCACCCTCAGTGTTCAGTAGTGTGGAGAGAGCAGAGCTGAACAAGCGTTTCCAATTCATTCTCTATGGGGGCTGAGAGACAAGCTCACACAGGGGATTGTGGGACTGACAGTGGAGTGGAACAAGTTCTGATAGCATCAAAAAGTTTGATGCAAAAAAGTTGTCATTTAGGGCCAGAGTAAAGTGTAATTTAGGACCAGGTGTATTTTCATTAAATTAAGTATCTGCAATTGTGATAATTCACACCTGTGAGGAGGAAAACTGTTGTCAAGACTTTAGTGCACACAAATATAACTGGTGGAGCACCTACAGAATGATAGCATGTGTGGAAGCCCACTAGAGCAAGCCATTAGTGTCAAACACCGATTCACCAGTCTGGGAAAAGAAGAATATGACAGACTGAAATCACACTGAGAGTTCATAGTTGTGGATGTATTGATACTAGGGCTGTGAATCTTTGGGTAAATAGTGAATCAATTCGATTCACCATTCATAGGGATTCGATTCGATTCAAGAACGATTCACAGTTAAATTCGATGCGATTCGATTAATGATTCGATTCTGCATTCTTTAAGTGCAATCACAGGATTATTAAAATGATTCCCCTAAATTCTTTATATACTTATATTCGAGGGCGAATTACACTGCAGCCTTTATGGAGTCAGAATCAGAATCAGAAGTATAGTTCAAATCTATTAATACATTTACTGACATATCGCTCAAAACTTACTGATATAAAAACTATAATTGCACTTTAGTTGGAGTACTTCTTGTGCACAATGCACATTTCTTAATATTAAGCTTAAAATGTGTTTTAATGTCACTATTAATAAGGATTGTATGATGTTTGAATAATATCAGTCTTTAAATGCAAGATATTGTGATAGTGTACCTGAAGTATACTTGCACAATCAAATGTAGGCTACTTCAGTATATATTTAGTAGTGGACTTTAACACTACTTCCTCACGATTAAAGAGCATTATGTGCAAAATTAGTTGTTCCAATTTAGCAGACGTATACCAGTTTAGTATACTAAAAGTACAATTGTAGGGTATTTTTATTTAGCACCTAAATATGTAAATGTATTTGTAGTATATGTAGCATGAAATAAATTTATTTCAAATACAATTTAGTATATTTATTTTTCACTAGGGTATGTGTCATTAAAAAAAAAAGATTTAAAAGTATTATTTCATGTTAACTATTGTGTAGCATAGTGTGAATGTATAGGGTAACATTTTGTCACACTTTTGCATGATGTGAGCTTCTTTATTTTCATAAAATAAAATGCTACAGCATTCAACTTTTCCTCTCTATCGGTGAATGAAGATGAGTCTGAAGAAAATGCACCCTATGTTTGCTATAATGACGAACGTAACTTTCACGCATCTGAGTGACAGATAAACCTCACGCTCTTATTTCAAGGTTGTTGTTAATGCTGTGGTTATTTTAACAGTTTCCTTCGTGCATTCGATTTAACGACATTAACTTATTAAGTCATTTATCATTCAATGGAACTGTGCGTATGCTTTTAGACACTGACATTGTTTTGGCTCCGTCCAAATGCGCAGTCTTCAACTGCTCAGGTAATGCCAATGGTATGACCGAGAGCCATTGAAAAACTACAGAAAAGTAAAACTACTTTACTTTAGCAGTACTGGCCACGAGTACTAAGAAGAGATTACATATTGGCTCAATTTGGCTGGTCAGAAAACGTGAGAGCTACAAACGGAGCTCGAGCGCAATCCTGTGACAGGCGGTAAATAGTGAAGCGCATAAAGGAGAGATGTGAGGCACGAACAAGGCGCTGTTTAAGGTCTCCATTAATTCATGCTTGGAGTAATTTAATGTGTATATATTTTAAAGTACTGAATCGCTATATAAATTGCGATTCATTCGATTCTTAGCATTCTAAATTGATTGCTGGCCAAAATCAACGATTCACGATTCAAAAATCCATGTTTCAAGATTGATGCATATGCATCGTCAGGGTTTGTAATCGATGCATCGAGAAAACGAGTGAATCGTTACACACCATTTTTTTAGACTGAGTATGAATATGATACCTTATACTTTGTACCAATATGATATCTTTATTTGTAGAATGTAGGCAAGGCAAGTTTATTTATATAGCACATTTCATACACAATGGTAATTCAAAGTGCTTTACGTAAAAGAAAAGGGGAAAAAAAAAATCACAACAATAAAACAAGGAATTTAAAAACTTTGAAAATGATAAAAAAATTTATTTAAGAGGTTTAAAATAAATTTAAAACAGTTTGTATGTCAATTCCGTGTAACGGTGTCCACACAAATCTGTTGTTGAGTACTTTTGTTACAGTAACATTTATTATTACATGTAATACAGTAATGAACAGGATCTTCTGCACCAACGCTTTATTTTTCAGTATTTGTTTTACAGATATACTGTTCTTGTTTGACTGTTTTTCAGCAGTCTCGCAGTAGCTCAACTGTTTTGAATAATACTTTTTAAATGCTACTTTTCCCAGTTTGTAATAGTGTACAACAAGTCCTAGATCACTATAATTTGTAATATTATAACAAGCATGATTACAGATAAGTGAATTAATGTAATAATCTAATCTTGTGTATATAAACAAATGCGATAATCTAATCACACACACACACACAAAGTAAAGAAAGTCAGTCTATTTTAAGTCTTGTTTAATTCTTGTTTTTTTCCCCCGCACCACAAGCATCCGCTGACTGCACGCGCACTTCAGAGGCATTCATGTTAGATGTGCTCACTGTAATATTTTCTGAAATAAGAAATAGAAGTAGCATAGAAAAAGTAGTTTGGCAGAGTAGTGTCACATTTTAGTAACTCTTGCAAAGTAATACGTTTATTAATGTGACTGTGTACAAACACCCATTTATATTTTTTATGAGACTTCAGTTCATTATTTGTTGAATTCAAATCATCAGTTCATTGATTGTTGAATTTTTGTCTTTTTTTGTCATGCACAAGCTAATGTGCATTTTATATTGAAATGTAATGATTTTCATGTACAGTTGGAAAAGAGCACTTGAATCACAGCTATAGTTTTAGACCTACAGAAATGAACTAAAATCATCTCAGATAAGATAAAAACTCCAGTCACATCAGTGTTCTAGAGAAAGCTATTTTGCTCTATTAAATGTCGCTCCTCTTGTGGTGATGGCTGCCATGCTGTCGTATGAATATTCCTCACTTTATCTCAGTAGCCTCCCCTATTATCAGATGTATATGGAATAAATTTACTAGGGGTAACAAATAGGTCTGTGAATAGATTATTACTACAATGTGAATAGAGTATTTCTACAATTTAAGAGACAAGTGAACTGGCAGACTTCTAAGCAGCAAAAGCAGGCATACAAAGGTGAGTGAGCTGAAGATGTTACAGATCCTGCTCATCTCCATCTAGCTCTACCTCATCCAGAATATCCTCAGCAAGCACCCAAAAACATTCCTCAGGTCCGTACCCCTCCCGGTCTACTAAACTTCAGGCTGATAGAAGCACAGCTTACTTGCTATGTCAAGTCAAGTCAAGTTAAGTTTATTTGTACAGCGCTTTTCACATCTTCTAAATCTATGTGAGATTCTGGACTCTAGATGTTGTGTAAACCAAATCTTCTGAAGTGGTGGTAGTAGAATTCAATTCAATGTACTGTATTGTATATTGTATACGTTATTTGTCTCGGACTATAGGCGCCCATTTAAACATGATTTTACAGACAGGGCTGGACTGGTAATCTGGTGTACCGGGCATTTTCCTCGGTGGGCAGATGCACTTGTATGACACTGGTTTAATATGTTTAATGATCTTGAAAGTCCAACATAGAATACTTAGAAACAGAAACAAAATTTTCATGAGCTGAATTGATTATATAAAGATAACCATTTATTGATGAAACAAAGACTTCTTTCAAAAATATTAAAAAAATAATCTTAACTATTCCAATTAATTGGAATGTTGAACTATTGGACAGTAGTGTACAGAAAGAGTCATAGTATTTAATCACTTAATGCTTGTGAATTGGTCGAAGATAGGTGGTGACCAACACATGGGACACTCCTACACAAAGCTAAGCTAAATCGCTAGTTGAATTAAGTTTTTTTTTTTTACTATGCCAAAAATAGAGTCAGAACACTAATTGTTTATGCCACATGTAGCACGTATAACTTGTTTGCCGCAAAAAAAATAAAAATACAATGACCTAAAAAACACTAACAAGCAGCATTATACTGTATAATAAGGTGACCAGACATGCCACTTCCTGGGGACACGTTCTGCCCAGAATTTCTAAATTGCCTAAAATAACCAGGGTTTGGCTGTTTGCGCTGCGCCGGTCGATCATTGTATGACATCAAAGTACCACGAGAGCGATAGAGAGCAGAGCAGACAGCTCCATGCTTTCGAATCGCTCTCACTGTACTTTTACGGCAATTTAGAAATTCTGGGCAGAACGTTTCCCCGGGAAGTGGCACATCTGGTCACCTTATTATACAATGTTTGCTTTTGTAAAATTTCATAAGAAAACAATAATGAATTCTGTTTAGCAATGAAGAATGACCCACAGTTTAGCCATATAGAGTTCAATTCAATTCAAGTTTCAATTCAATTTAAGTTTATTTGTACAGCGCTTTTCACAATACAAATCGTTGCAAAGCAACTTTATAGAAAAAAGTTTCTACAATATATTTAGTAGTAGCTTATCAGTGGTGACTGTCAGTTAATGTACATATGGCAGAAATGTACAGGAAAACTTAAAAACAAACAAACAAACCATGAGTTTCGAGTAGGTCTTTTAGAGTACTTTTAAATTTGGCTAAAATTATTTGCAGTATTGTTGGATCAACCCATATCAACTCAACCAAATATAAACCCATTATTGGATTATGTAGGAGCACCATAATTTTTAAACACTAAACAAGAATAAATTCATGTGGTGGGTGATTGTTTGGTGTTTTTATCAATTTTGCTGCTGGGTTTTTCCAGGCCCAGTAGCATATTTATTGTTAAAGCTGTGGACCTTGGGTATAGCACTGTGACTGAGTTTGTTCGGGTCTATAGATCTCCCCTTTTCAATTGTTTAAATTGTCAGTCTGAAATCCACTTGGCTACCTGATTTACCCTTAACACATCAGCATATAAGTTGGCATCATGTGTTTTCTTATATTCCTGATGCTCATTTTTTTCAACCAGGGATCAAATGAATTAAATGGACACAATAAGGAGAGTGAACCCTGGTTGTATTTGCTACACTTTAGACAACTCTCGACCTCACCGACGAAAATTCTAGAGCTATATCATCAGTCAATCAACCTGCCTCATAAACTGAAATTTTTTTACTCCCAAGTGTATGTAAATTAGATTTTGTATCTTCAGAATCTTATGGTGTTAAATGACTATTTTATCGAGACAAAGGACTCTTTTTTTTCAGTTTGCCGTTGATGGGGGTCCTGATAAATCTTTTCCTGTTAACCTAAAATTACGATGTATGATAATGCTCTTATTGATGTTATCTGGAAATGTTCAGCCAAATCCTGGGCCTATTACATCTATGCATTGTTTACCCACTCCCTCAGATTTTAAAAGTAGAACAGGCCTTGGGTTTAAATGTATAATGTTAGAAGTTTGGTTCCTAAATTGGATATGATTAAGATTTGGGTAAATACGACAAACGCTGACATAATTGTTCTTTCTGAAACTTGGCTTAAGAAATCGATCACTGTTGATTTAATTTATATTGATGGCTATAAAGTCTACAGAACTGATCGGGTGGGCAAAGGAGGTGGGGTGGCCATCTATGTTAAATCTAAGCTTGTTAACTCTGTAACTTTGTCAGTTACTAGAGCTAAACAGTTTGAGGTTTTGGCCATCAAAGTGGGTGTTTCGAAAGTGTCTAATATCACTGTGGTTGGCTGTTATAGACCTCCGTCTGCTACAAAGGATGCTCTCAAAGCTTTTTTTTTCAGATATTTTACATGAGTTAAATGACTCCGAGTTCATCCTTATGGGTGATTTAAATTGGGACTGACTCTCAGGGACCTCAGATTGTTTTAAAGAATTGTGTGACTCCTTAAGCCTTGCGCAACTAATTAATGCACCGACAAGGCTAAATCCTAAAGTGCAACATAAATCTACCTTACTGGATCTAATCATAACGAATGCTGCTCATAAATTTACTTCAACTGGCATATTCTGTAATGATATTAGTGGTCATTGTTTAATTGCTTGTGTCCGGGATACAAAAATCCCTAAGGTAAAACCCCGTTTTATTTTTAAAAGATATTTTAAAAAATTTGAGGAGCAAGCTTTTTTGCATGATTTATACCATAGTGATCTTAGAAGAGTAACTCTAATACAGGATGTTGAACTGGCATGGGAATATTTTCAATCAATTTTTCAGTCCATCTCTAATAACCATGTTCCCATTAAGAAGTTCAGGATCAGTGGTAGGGACAATCCCTGATTTTCAGATAGTCTTTAAGAATTAATTAATTAATTTAAGAAATAAATCATGGGTACAAGCCAAATTTTCAAACACCCCTGCTGATTGGTCTACATTCAAAACACTAAGGAATAAGTGCACATTGACGATTAGGAAGTCTAAATCAGAGTTTTATTCTCAGAGAATTTAAATAATCCTTCAAAATTTTGGAAATTAATAAAATCCATGTCAGTGACTCATGTAGCCTCTAGCCTTCCTGAATATATTCAGGTTTACTTAGATAAAATAAACAATAAAGTCACTATGATCAACCAGTTAAATAAACACTTTATACATGCTGGGTCTGTATTTGACTATTTAAATGCAAATACAACTGCCCCATGTTCTGTGATTACACCAGCGACCGGAAATCTGGATGTGTTTGTTTTTAAACCTGTTTCAGTAAATCAAGTTTGTAAAGCATTGAAAGGCATTGATAACAAAACTTCTGTAGGCCCAGATAACTTAGACCCTTATCTTTTAAAGGTGGCAGTGGATGTTATTGCTGAGCCAGTTACTCATATTTTTAATTTGAGTCTTCTATTGAGTTATTTACCTAAAATTTGGAAAACTGCTTATGTTCTCCCATTATTTAAAGGTCATGATCCCTCAGACATGAACAACTATCGTCCCATCTCCAAACTCTCAACTTTGGCCAAGATTCTTGAATCTTAGGTAAATTTACAGTTAAAACATTTTTTATTGGATAATAATATTTTAAACTCTTTTCAATCTGGTTTTAGAACTGGCCATAGTAAAATTACTGCTGCTACGGTAGTGTTAAATTATATTATTGGTACCCTGGATAAAAAACAGCACTGCGCTGCCTTATTTGTGGCTTTATCCAAGGTGTTTGATTCAGTGAATCATGAATTGTTGCTAAACAAACTTAGCAGTGCTGGTTTCGGACCAGGGACATTGAAATGGTTTAGAAATTATTTGGTAGATCGGACTCAGTGTGTTCATGTGGAGGATCTCAAATCAGACTTTCTTGATATATCTAAAGGGGTCCCCCAGGGTTCCATTTTGGAACCTATTTTGTTTTCTATTTATATAAATGATTTGGGTAAGGACATTCAAGCAAAAAAAAAAAACATTTTTATGCTGATGATACTATTATTTATACAATTGCTCCATCTATAACACAGGCGGTGAAAGAGCTTCAGATTGCATGAATTTCAGTCGCTGGAAGATGCTCTGGTTAGTTTAATTTAATTAAAAATTTGTTTTAAATTCACAGAAAACAAAGTTTATGGTTTTTTCAAAAGCTCAGTCACAAGTACTTGATAATCTTAGTATTTTTACATCTGTTGGTAAAATTATTGAAAGGTTACTTCTTACAAGTACTTGGTCATTTGGATTGATGATAAACTTTTGTTCAATGTACATATTGCTAACATAGGAACTATATTTGGTTTGAGAGCTAATTATTCACAAATCATTTTATATATTTATATAGCATGTCGTCACTTTTTTATTTATATATATATACACTGCACTGAACACAATTATAAACGCAACACTTTTGTTTTTGCCTCCGTTTTTCATGAGCTGAACTCAAAGATTCAAGACTTTTTCTATGTACACAAAAGGCCTATTTCTCTCAAATATTGTTCACAAATCTGTCTAAATCTGTGTTAGTGAGCACTTCTCCTTTGCCGAGATAATCCATCCACTTCACAGGTGTGGCAATATCAAGATGCTGATTAGACAGCATGATTATTGCACAGGTGTGCCTAAGGCTGGCCACAATAAAAGGCCACTATAAAATATGGGGGCAAAAACAAAAGTGTTGCGTTTATAATTTTGTTCAGTATATAAAGCAATGTTAGGTAAACTTCCAGCTTATCTCTGCACTCTTCTTTGTCTTTGTTCTGGCAATTACCAGCTACACTCTTCCAAGTGTTTGCTTTTTAATGTACCTCGAGTTTATAAAGAACTGGGGAAAACTGCATTTTCATATTATGCACCCTGGGCATGAAATAATTAACAAAAAGATCTAAAACTAGATAAATTTGTGTCTATTGGTGAATTTAAAGGCATCATAAAGAGAGTGGTATTGGAAGCTTGTGATTGTTTTTGTTGAGAGGATGTTTAAATATTATAGATTTTAAATCTCAATGAGACTTCCTGGTTAAATAAAGGTAAAACAAACAAAAAAATAATAATAATAAATAACATGTTAAAGGGATAGTTCACCCAAAAATGAAAATTTGATGTTTATCTGCTTACCCCCAGGGCATCCCAGATGTAGGTGACTTTGTTTCTTCAGTAGAACACATATGATGATTTTTAACTTTAACCGTTGCAGTCTATCAGTCGTATAATGCATGGCAATGGTAACAAAATCTATGAGAGTAAAAAAAAACATGCACAGACAAATCCAAATTAAACTCTGCGGCTCGTGACGACACATTGATGTCCTAAGACACGAAACGATCGGTTTGTGCCAGAAAGCGAACAGTATTTATATGATTTTTTACCTCTAATACACCACTATGTCCAACTGTCTTTGGGCGCGCGCACTGCATAAGAGAGAATAATGGAGGACAAAGAAAATGAAAAAGAAAGAAAGAGGTAGATGGATGGAGGTAAAAGCAATCACAAGGAGAAAAAGAGAGGTGAAATCAAGGTTAGGGTGTGACCGCAAAGGTTTGGTCTGCTAGAAGCTTCTATTCCATGGTAAATTAAAAAGTAATTACAGCGATTACATGGCAGTTCTCCATGAGAGTGACACGAATGCTGAAGATACATGAGAGATCTGCTAATGACGCTCTTCATCTCACCTCAGCTCTCATGAGTTCGCTACAGTCTCACATCAGCATTTAGTAATCCATCTGAGAGAAAACTGAGATTGTGTGATTATACTGACCCACACATATTATTTTCATTTTTTGAGAATTTAGATTAAAAAGGAATTGAAATCTCTCCTGAAAAGAGAAAACTTGTAAACCGAATAGACATTCCTCTGGCAATATTTCTTATAAATAAATGGCTGTGTTTAATATTGCTAATTAAAGTATATGTCCATAAGTTGTGTTTCAGCCTCCTTTTTGTTTTGGGTCAGCCCCATGGAAACAGACCCACATCCCAAAACCAAGCAGAAATAATAAATGAAGTAATCTGCTGCATTTTCATTATGCAAAATTACATTTTGTAATTATTTCCTTTGATTTATGACCTGGACACTGACAGGTTCTTGACAGGTTTGGTATGTTTGATTTTCGTGTGTTAAAGGGGTCATGAACTGCCTTTGTTTTTTTATGTATTTTTTTATTTTGTACTGTTCTCTGTTATCAAGATTTTTACATCAAAAAACATCATAATTTTGAAGTAATAGGGTATTTTCTGCCCTGTTTCTGTCCCCCCCCACATCAGATCGCTCTGTTTGAATAGGCATGGTGGATTGTAGAATCGATGGGCAGGGCAAAATAGGCAGCGGTGTAGAATCGGTGGGCAGGGCTAAACAGGAAGTGACGTAGAATCGATGGGCGGGGTTAAACAGGCAGTGATGTCGAGGCATTGGTCTTTTTCTGCATAGGAGGCACTTATCCACACTAGGGATGTAACGATTACCGGTTTGATGATAAATCATGATAAAATTCCCCGCGGTTAGTATTACCTTTTCATCTTTTAATTATCATTAAAACAGTATTAGATTACCGCGCTTTGAACAACTCGCGATAAATAAATACTGTCCAGCATAAAGCACAGTTTTAAGAAACAGTCTCACGTGCGCACAGCAGCAGAGTAGTTTCGTTTTGAGTGAAAACAGGGCGGAAAAGCTGGGAGGTTTTAAAAGAGTGCTAAGGGAATTATACAAATGAATATATTATTGAATTAATTATATGAATGTACCTCTGAAGGATCTGACTGTCTTCAGAAATGATTCGATGGCATTTTGTTTTCATCTTCACTGCATGTAATACCTAAAGGAAGTGTTCTTAATCGCAATACTGCATTGTCCACAGAGTTTACGGGAAACAGCTTTTCCAATCGTGATAAGAAATGTTCATACCGTTACATCCCTAATCCACACTATTACATAATAGAGTAGAACATTCCAAAAGCTGTCATTTTGGCAGACTACCTTCTGTTTTTAGACTAATGAGAAAGTTTTGAGCTCTGAAATTTACAGGATGTTTTTTATAGTACAATGACCTCTTATTTGTCAAAAGAGCAAGGGAATTTTGCTTTCTCAGTTCATGACGCCTTTAATGTTAGTCTAACATGAAGAGTCTGTGTGTCTGTAGAGTCGCATCAGTACTCAGTGCTGGAGTCGGTGCCTGTGCCGTCAGTGGTGGCCAAACTGAAAGCCGCAGATGCTGATATCGACTTCAATGCAGAGATGGACTACTATATAATAGATGGAGATGCACCAGGTGTGTTCAACATCACCACAGACGAGGAGACCCAGGAGGGAGTCATCTTTCTACAGAGGGTGAGATCATAGTGCCTTTCATAGTGAACGACAGGCCGTTTAGAGTAGGCCCTACTGTATATAGTGAATTAGACTGACTATATTAATAATGAAAAACGTCTCGAGTTACGTATGTAACCATGGTTCCCTGAGAAAGGAACGAGACACTGCGTCCTCTAGAGGTCGCTTTGGGGAATGCCTTCAGCGTGACCGGTGTCGGAAGCATTCATCTAAACACGACAATAACATTGGCCGGCGACAGCCTATGATGTCATTACCTGGCGCGATCACAGTATGAAAGGGCGCCGGGAGAACACGTCATCCGTTTCTTTGTCTGAAGCTTGCGTCCAAAGCATGGCAAGGGAACTAGTGGACGCAGTGTCTCGTTCCCTTCTTAGGGAACCATGGTTCAGTACGTAACCTGAGACATTCCCTTCCGAGGGAACTTCAAACTGCGTCCTCTAGAGGTCGCTTTGGGGAACGGTATACCCAAACTACCATGCTGAGGGAAGTGCATGCCAGAAACCATGGCTAGCACTAAGTACCAACTCTACCATAGCCATGGGAATTGCCCCAAGGACGCCTTGACGGCTGTCAGTGACATTACCCCTTCGGCCAAGGTCCTGAGCTGCATACCCTAAAAGAACTTACCTGTTAAAGGCTGGGCTGGGATGCCCAAGCCTAGGGCAGAGCTCAAGGCTTGGAATCAGAAGAAAGAGATATCTTTAAGGGGATACAGCTAGGTGTCTAAAAAACCAAACCAGACTCTGGCCTGCCATCCAGGGGGCTACTGCCAGTTCTGAATGAATCTGCTCAAAGAACTGACTCGACAGATCTTTGGTAGCAACACCCTGCTCAGAAATGTATAAACAGAGATACATAAGTTCAGTGGAGCCCAACGTGAGAACCGAGCCTAAACCAACTCCGAGAAAGGGAACAAGTCTGACAGCACGTAACCCTTACCATACAGGATTTTAGAAAGTGCGCAGAATGCCTAGCGTGCACACTTACCACAATGTGGATTTTTGAAAGTGCACAGAAGCTCAGCGTGGCATGGATTTAGAAACACTGTTACTAAGGGGTAACCGAAGCTGTTGCTTAGACAAGCCTAGGAACCCCATGTGACTGTGGCACACTCAGGGAGTGACAATTAATTCAGCGGAAGAACGCGTGCTTAGAGTGCATGTGAATTGAAAAAACGTATATCATAGAAAAACTCTCCATGTGATGGGAGTTTCGCCAACTCAACCATAGCATTCACAGAACAGACTCCAGAGCATCTGCTCATGCATAACTAGAAGGGGCGTAGCACCCAGCTCAGACCGAGATGGGGACACCAACGCCTGACTGGAAAGCAGCTTGCTTATAGCTAACCCTCCAGGGTGAGGAGAGCACTGCTGAGCTCACCAAGAGAGCAGCCTAAGAGGAAGGCAGAGTCCTGACATGCTACCCAGCGGAGCTCACAGAGCGAAGGATTCAATTCTCAAATGAGAGGGACTCAGAAGCTCAGAAGAAAGCAGCGTACTCGCACAAGACCCTCCATGGTGAGGAGAGCACAGCTATCTCACTCAACAAGCAACCCGCCAGGGAGGCAGAAGATGACCCAGCAACCTGGTTTGACTGCTAACCGGAGCTCAAAGGATCGGAGGCCCAACTCCAAAAATAGGAGTTTAATCTGGGAGCGACGCTCATAGGTGACTCTCTAGGGTGAGGGGAGCAAGCTCAGCTCAGCAGAAAACACGGGGTATCGTTTCATTTTTATGCCGACGACACGCAAATCTATTTACCTTTTAGGAAGAATGACCCATTGGCGATGACTGCTCTTTCATCTTGCTTAGACGAGGTTAAATCCTGGCTCTCTCAAAAAAATTTTTTTGATGTGATTGATGTGATGTGAGGTGATTATTTTCGGTCCATCAGAAAATATGAAAGCCCTAAATCTTGACCTAGGACCTTTATCGGCTTTTAGATCTTCACAGGTACGGAATCTGGGTCTTCTTTTAGATGACTCGCTAAAATTCGATAAGCAAATTTCTACTGTGATTGGGTCCAGTTTTCATCAACTCCATACACTAGCAAAAATTAAACACTTTCTCACTGACAAGATTTTGGAGATGGCGGTTCATGCCTTTATTACATCGCGTCTCGATTATTGTAACTCTTTATACTGTGGCATATCTAAAACTCAAATTGCCCGTCTTCAAGTGGTCCAGAACGCTGCCTCTAGATTCCTTTTAAAAAAGAAAAAAAGGGATCACGTCACTCCGCTCTTGAAGACCCTTCATTGGTTGCCTGTTCAGTTTAGAATACATTTTAAAATCTTATTATTTGTTTTTAAATCTATGCACAATCAAGCACCCGTTTATTTATCTGAATTGCTGCATCAGTATATCCCCTCGAGAAGTCTAAGATCTTGCGACCAGAACCTTCTTGTAATTCCGCATACCAGACTCAAGCGTAGAGGTGACCGTGCCTTCTCAGTAATTGGGCCTCGTCTTTGGAATGTCTTGCCGGTGGAGATCAGAACGGCCCGTAGCCTGTCTATTTTTAAGTCTCTTTTAAAAACCCATTTGTTTTCATTGGCCTATTAGGACTATATTTTTGCCTATTGTATTTCCTATTTGTGTTTTAATTTTTCTGGTTGCAGTTTTTGTATTACTACATTTTATGATGACGTTTCTTACTGTGAAGTGCTTTGGTCAGTCTTGTGGCTGTTTTAAATGTGCTATATAAATAAAGTAAACTTGAAACTTGAAACTTGACTCAAATAGAGGCAGCTTATCAGGGAGGCAGCAAGCTGCCCAACTACCTGATGTCACTGCCACGGGACTCAAAGTGCGGAAGGTTCAACCACTAGCGAGGAGAGAGAGGAACCCAGCTCGACCGAAGCAATCAATAGCCCAGTGTCAGAGTACCTAGCTCTTAAGCAGAGAGGAGGAATCACAGAGTCTTGCCCAGGACTGGCGAGCTCCCGCAGTGAGGGGAGCACAGCCATGTCCGGAGAACAGATAGATCGCAAGTTTTCGGGAGCAGCGCTCTCGGCTCTCAAGCTGAGGCAGGCCCTTAGAGCACACACTGGGAGCGACTCATTGCTAACCCTCACAGTGAGGGTAGCACTTCTCAGCTCGACTAGAAGGCGGCGCTAGATTTTGGCTCGACCAAAAAGCAGCCCGCCAGGGAGGCAGAAGGTGGCCCAGCAACCTGGCATGACTGCTAACCGGAGCTCAATTGAGCGGAGGCCCAACTCTCAAAATAGGAGAGGAACTCAGATGCTCAATTTGGGAGCGGCGTGCTCATAGGTGATTCTCTAGGGTGAGGGGAGCACTGCTAAGCTCAACCAAATAGGGGCAACTTATCAGGGAGGCAGCAAGCGGCCAACCTACCTGATGTCGCGGAGCTCAAAGAGTGGAGGGCTCGACCCTCAGCAAAGAGAGAGGAACCCAGCTCAACTGAAGCGATCAATAGCCCAGGGGCAAAGTACCTAGCTCTCAAGTGGAGAGGAGGACTCACATAATCTGCCCAGGACTGGCAAGCTCATAAAAGACCCTCACGGCCATAAAAGATATGGCCGTGAGGGGAGCACGGCCATATCCGGGGAGCAGATTGACCGCAAATGGGACATCAGAAATGGGATCCAGCTTAAAAGGGGATCACACATTTCAACAGGGAACAACAGGGTCCCAGCATAGAGACCACTGACCAAGGAGGAGACAGGGACGGGCCTAACTACTCAGCATTGTTGCATATGGAGTTCTCAGGAGCAGCGCTCTCGGCTCTCAAGGTGAGGCGGGCCCTCAAAGTACAAACTGGGAGCAATAGGCTCATAGCTAACCCTCGCAGTGAGGGGAGCACTTCTCAACTTGATCAGAAGGTAGTGCTAGATTAGAAGGGGCAGTCTAGCAGGGCCCAATGAGAGACCATCAACCGATGCAGCTGAACCCAGTCTTATGCTCTCTATCTCGATATAGAGCATGGGTCGATTTGAGGCGATTTACTGGTTCGACAATAAGGGCAGTGTGACAGGGAGGTCCGGTGGGCCTGACCGTCTATCGAACTGCAGAGTGGAGTTAAGGAGTGTTAAGCCACTCAACGCCTCAGCGAGAGGAGCTCTAGCTCAGAGAATGTGCATGATGGTTGAGAGGATGACTCAAATCTCAGGAGACCCCTCGGGTCGAGACATGAGTAAGCGTGTCCTGGTCGGGACATCAGGGAGCTCGTCACGAAGCATTATACTCCGAAAAATGCTCAACCTGAATGGAGAACCCGTGGGTCCTGAGGTTGCAGTGTCATACTGGGGACCTGATTGCTAAGGAGGCTTTCGCAGAAGCTCAGCGATTGGCTGCGTGGTCCAGTAAGCATGAAGCCAAAGATGTAGGGCTATCATCCAGCCTGGATCCAGTACCACCGGGTGAGACCATCAACACAATCGGTCAACAGCAAGAGGTTCTGACTTCAGCAGGGGAGGTGCTCGCAGAGGTCCTAACCCTAAAACAAAGTCAGAAAAACAGAGACAGGTCCAAGTAGCACTGCACAGAAAGCTAGTTAGTGAATTCACATAAAATTAGCAATAGAGTAGATGAAATGAATGATGCATTTATAAAGCGCTTTATTGTGTATTTTTGTACACCCAAAGCACTTTACAATCATGTGGGGGGGTCTCTCCTCAACCACCACCAGTGTGCAGCATCCACTTGGATGATGCGACGGCAGCCACAGGACAACGGCGCCAGTGCACTCACCACACACCAGCTACAGGTAGAGAGGAGAGAAAGTCATAGAGCCAATCACATGGTTGGGGATTATTAGGAGGCTTTGATTGACAAAGGCCAGGGGGGCAGTTTTGGCCAGGACACCGGGGTTACACCCCTACTCTTTATGAGAAGTGCCATGGGATTTTTAATGACCACAGAGAGTCAGGACCTCGGTTTAGCGTCTCATCCGAAAGACGGTGCTTTTTGACAGTATAGTGTCCCCGTCACTATACTGGGGCATTAGGACCCACGCAGACCTCTTCCAACAGCAACCTAGTTTTCCAAGGAGGTCTCCCATCCAGGTACTGACCAGGCTCAACCCTGCGTAGCTTCAGTGGGCGACCAGTCTTGGGCTGCAGGGTGATATGGCTGTGGAAGAGAAATGGATCCAACTCACCAACCACGGCTCCCGCGCATGACTCAAGCTCATGGATATAATCTGAAGACGAAGTCCGAAGAGCCCTTGGGTCCGGACCCTAGTAGGTAGTTCTATGAGACATAGAAACTAACAAAAACACCATAGGTCCAGCATGAAAGACTGCAATGCAAGCGCAGGAGGGGAATCAAGCCGGAGTGCAGTATAATGTGATTATCTGATAAGGACATGATATAAATCATCTGTCCAACAACTGCAGACAGATATCCACATTATACACGTCTACTTCTTCTACTTCTTATATAAACAGAAGGAAATTACTGATAGGGAAAACTTTCCCGTCAGGTCCTTTCCATGTTCTGCCCATCAACTGTAAATCGCGGCAAGGGGCAGACAATTCTCACCACAACCACAAAGCGCAGCATGCATTTAGCTCCCACGCTTCGCCCACGTGCTAGATTACCTCAGAAATCAAGCGAGAACAGAAACCGCGGCCGCGAATGCATCGCTATTCCCACGGGAGGCAAACGCACTCATGCAAATGCTATCTACAAACTGGGGTAAATGGTGAAGTACTCACCTTCCCCTCAGTAGTCCCGCGAATGCATCACGATGAGCACAAGCCGTCTCCTCGTGAGACGAGCGCATTCAATTCATGCTTATCCTCCACAAGAAATAAGCAATGAATGCAGAGCGCATCCAACTCCCTCGGGAGCTGAACGCGCATGCTCTTCACCACACACATACACAACACGCGAGCCGTGTGAAACTGCGGGGTGTGATCGCGCCAGGTAATGACGTCATTGGCTGTCGCCAGCTAATGTTATTGTCGTGTTTAGATGAATACTTCAGACACCGGTCACGCTGAAGGCGTTCCCCAAAGTGACCTCTAGAGGACGCAGTTCGAAGTTCCCTCGGAAGGGAACTAGTCAACTGATATTAGTGGTATGCGGGGTTCCTCAGTCCTGTTCCTGGAAAAAATAAATAACCACCAATAACTACCCTACTGTATAGAGTTTAGCACCAACCCTAATCAGACACACCTGAATCAATAACGGTGTTTATGATGACTGGAGGTGCGTCTCAATCAGCTCCCGAGCTCGTGAATCAGTATATCGTGTCCATGAATCCTGACACTGATAAAAACCCTGGCTCACTGCACACTGGGACAATGATTCCTCAATTTCCAGTGACATGACCATGTATAACATCACCGCTGGTATTAATCAACAACAGGCAGGACCTATATATTTTTAAGATTATTTTTTATGCTCTTTAAACATATTGAGCTTCATTCATGAAACACGAGCAGAACAAATTTTTGTGTAAATAAATTGTGTAATTCCAGAGATCACATGACAGGAAACAGGAAGTGAAGTAACCTCTCTAAATGTATAAAAGGAGCAGCATGGCCTAACATTGGGGCCTGAGACTTTAAACACATCAGGTCAGTGATCCGCTGTGATCCGCAATCTGCACATCAGCTGTCCGGATTGATGAAAATATTGCGTTCACTCTTTGGATTATATCACACTGGATTGTATATTCGCAGATGGACACACCAAACCTCTTCTGGACTGTGTTATGCTATTGGACCAAAGGACTATACGTGTTTTAACAGCCTAAGAACTCTGTGTACATATTGTGATGATTTATTTAATAAATAAATGTTAATATTAATTAATACATATTTATATATACGATTTTACGATAATATTTTTATGTTACGATGTTTTTAAACACCCAATTCATTAATAATGTAATTTCTGTAGCCACTATTTGTGTGTGTGTGTAAAATCACTGATTAAGAATTTATCTTTTGCTGCTTCTGATTTTTCTTCTTCCCTGTACTCATTATTTTTAGCATGTCTTCTTCCATTCTGTCTTAAATGTAAATCTCTCTCTCTTTCTCTCTTCCGCAGCCTTTGGACTATGAAACTAAAAGCAGTTTTTCTCTGAAGATTGAAGCCACTAATCGGAATGTTGACCCTCAGTTTCTGACCTTTGGCCCCTTCAGTGATACAGCGGCTGTAAAGGTCATTGTAGAGGATGTGAACGAGCCGCCGGTCTTCTCTCCTCTGATCAGCAGAATGGTGGTATCTGAGGCAGCGAGGGTCGGCGCGGTCATCGGTACAGTTTCAGCCCGTGACCCAGACTCGTCCAGCAGTGCCATCAGGTAAACGCTTCACTGATGTGGGTTCTGTGTATTATCTTATTAGACTGTGTGTTTGTAATTCACATGGCTGTTTATCTTACTGTCCTCTTAGCCATATATGTTACAGTTCTAACACAGAACACTGATTGGATGCTAAAACACAATTTAATCAGTTCATTCTGTACTTAATCCACATAAAAAACAGCAGTGAGGTCTACACAGACCCCAAACTCTGGTTTAACAGTTTGACTGTCATGGTCATGATATGCAAATACAGATCTGGCCACTGAGAATAAGTGCGCAGAGGAAAGGGATCACGCGTGACCACGGTGTATTATACAGGGCCACAGGGAATGCTCTAACACAGGAAAGACATGCTTAGTAGGGGGCAGTCATGTAACGTACTGAACTGAAGCGGCCGAGAACACTCTTCATTGTGAGTAAATCACTCGCATATGTGACTAAAACTTCACTCTGGGCGACTAAATGATGTCTAATATTAGCCACTGGCTAATAAATTCTCAGATTTTACTCGCCAGTGTGTGAGTTGGACGCTAAGTATAAGTTTAGCACAGATATATTTTTACTCGTCGAACACACTGACTGGCATGCAAACAGTGCTCAAGTTCTTTCCCTTCCTATGCGTAAATCATTTAAAATCACATTAAAATGCGAACACAGGAATTATTAAGCGGAATCAAAATGTATTTGTCTTATCGAGTACCCAGTTCTTGGAAATTTGGAACCGGTTCTAAAATGGAACCGGTTCTCGATACTGTCTCACACACACGCAAAGAGAGAGAGAGAGTCTTGCATACCATGCAGAATTGACGCGATACATGTAAACGATATACTTTGTTGCATTTTCCTGTCAAAATAACAGAGTTCCTTTGGAATTCTTCAGCTTTTAAGAACTGCCGGATTCTCCGGTAGTGGGCAGAACTAATGCACAAATGACAATCTCATTGGGTGGTGCTCACCTATTATCGTCCCTGTTTTGATTTCAGCAAATAAATTAGAGCGAACACACACAACCTGATTAATATTCATGAATCCAGCAGCTCGTTAATCCTTTGAATCTTTTCACAATATTACGTGTGGTAGTTGGTGAAAGACCTAAATTCTTTGCAATTTTGCATTGTGAAATGTGATTTTTTTGTTTGACACTTCTCTAATGAAATTTGGCACAAAGTTATGAGCCATGATCCAGCTTTGCTTGCAAAGACTTAGATGCTCCTTTTATACCCAAACATGATACCTTGACCTATTACCAATTCACCTGCTCACTGTGATTCAAAACGTGGATATTCCATAACCTTTTCAATTTTATTTTGCCTCTGTCCCAACTTTTTTTTGGAATGTGTTGCAGCCATCAAAATCAAAATTTGTTCATATTTACAAAATACATTTACGTTGGTCAGTGAAAACTTTATTAAATAATACTTGATTATCATATACAGTGCTTGACTAACTGATGTTAAGAATGTAGTACTTTCAGATATTTAAAAAGCTGTGCCATTTTACAAACAT